ATATATATATATATATATATATATATATATTCTCCTAAGATTAATTAATGAAGAGGTTGCACCTGTTTGTTAAGGAGGAGGAGGATATTGAGATAATTGTTGATCATAAATTGAACATGAGCCAGCAATGAGATGCTGTAGCAAAAAAAGGGAACATTGTTGTGTCCTGTATTAATAGAAGCATAACTCTGGAGATTGAGATTCGATTTTCAGCTCAGCCATGAAACCCACTGGGTGACCTTGGGCAACTCACATGCTCTCAGCCTCAGGGGAAGGCAATGGCAAACCTCCTCTGAACAAACCTTGCCAAGAAAACCCCAGGATAGGTTGTCTTAGAGTTGCCATAAGTGGGAAATGACTTGAAGGCACACAACAGCAACAATAGAAGCATAGTTGAGGGAAGTAATTGTCCCATTATATTCTGTGCTGGTCAGGCCTCATCTGGAATACTACGTTCAGTAATTGGCACCTTATTTTAAGAAGGGTATAGGCAAATTGGAGAAAGTTCAGAGAAGGATTATAAGAGGCATGGAGAACAAAACATACGAGGAAAGGTTGAGGTAGCTGGCCATGTTCAGCTTGGTGAAGAGAAGACTGAGCGAGTGATATGATCACACTCTTTAAATATCTCAAGGGCTTTGACAGAGAGGAGTGGGCAGGACTGACTTCTGCTGCTCCAGAAGATAGGACCAGGTCTAATGGCTTGAAGTTACAAGAGAGTAGATTTCAACTGAACTTTAGAAGGAACATTTTAACAGAAAGAGCAATTCAGCAATGGAGTCAATTGTCTAGAGGGGTGGGGTGGGGTTCCTTTCTCTGGATGTCCTAAAAAAAAAAAAAAAAAAAAAAGGCTGGACAGCTACCGGATTGGGATGCTTTAGCTGGGGATCCTGCCTTGAGCAGGGGGTTGGGCTACATGATCCACAATGCTCCTTCCAACTCTGTGATTCTATCATTAAGATATACGTTAAATAATGTGGGTGCAAGAATACAACCTTGGTATACACCTCTTTTAACTGGGACAGTTTTAGTAAGGTCACTATGTAATCCAGATCTGACCTGTACTATGGCATTGCTATATAACTTCATTATTAACCCAAGTAATCTTTTGTCAATAGAGGAAACAAGGCGTTTGGTCTAAAGTCTGCCTCTAGATATTAAATCTAATGCTGATTTTAGGTCTATAAAGGCGACGTATAGACTGTTATTATGTGCCCTTGAATATTTTTCTGTCAGATGGTTTATGGATCATTACACAATGATCCATAATTGACTTGCTCTTCTGAAACCCAGCTTGTTCATCCCCAATAATTTTTTCTGTCTCAATCCATTCTGTAAGCCAATTGTTAAGATAACAACTATATACTGATTCTTTGACAACAACAGTAGCAACAACAGGTGGTCAAAAAACCTTGGGGTTCAGATGTAAAAACATACTTGCAAATCAACAAAATGCATTATGACCTGCCAGTGAGCCTTGAATGTCCCTTGTCTTAAAAACAATTTGGGGTCACCAGAAGTTGACAGGCAAATTCAAACAGAATTCATTGCCAATATTGTTTCCTCTGTGGACTATATGGAATGACATAGCTCGTAACTAAGGAACTAAACAATTTAATATCATGGTATTGTCTAATTCAGTGCTTCTCATGCTGTCTTTGGCACTATATTTGTCTCCATGGAGTACAATTTTTGCTTTGTTTCTTGGAGACTCTCCAAAGCCCAGCTGATGGCTTGTGGATTGACACTGGTTCATGGACCACCACTTTGAGTAGCACTGGTATAAATTATTGCAAATCTATCTTTATTTGGGGTTCATAGGCATCTTTGTCATAGGCCTATTCAGGCCTTTATACTTCAGTGTTCAGTCAACATACAAAGGGGAAAGGCCACAGATGATACATTTCCTTGTTGCTGTCTCTATCAACATCCGCAAATAAGTGGGATAACTTTTAAGATGAAGATACTTCTCTACTTGCATAGGCTCCATGGTCTTTGCAGAATGTAGAGCTCTTAAAAGTCAAGAATCTACATCACAGGGAGAGTTGTGACATAGATGACATGACTCAAGACAAGTTTTTGCCTAAGACGGAGGAAGAAATGATGCCCCACCCCACCCCAGTCAAGGTGCATAGTACCCAAGGTTGGAGAAGTTATTTTGTATCTGAGGCACAAAATAACATGAGCATGTCCCTCCCTTCTCTACAGTAAAACTATTATAATAGTTAATTGAATAATCAACAGTCTGTTGCTGATGATAGGGCCAGCTCTGTTTAGTGATGGAAAAGATTCTGTGCTGCAGAGGTTGTCACTCCAACTTGTGGAGAATTACAGCAACAGAAAGGTGGGAGTTAATATGTGTTCATCCTTGCTTTTCCCTACTTTTCACATTTTGATTAAACAGAGAAACAGAATTCCAAATTTGTATTTCTGTAAATGTGTGTGTGTGCCTTCAAGTTGCCTGTTGACTTATGGTGATTCCATGAATTTCATAGGGTTTTCTTAGGCATGGAATAGTTGGAAGTAGTTTTACCAGTTCCTTCCTCTGAAATATAGCCTACAATACTTGGCATTCATTGGCAATCTCTCATCCAAGAACTAACAGGCTGACCCAGCTTAGCTTCCAAGATCAGCTGAGATTTGTTGCCTTCAGGTGTCTCCTGGGACATTTTTTAGTTAACAAAAAATATGGATAATAGCAAACAGTATTTTTAAACTGAAATGAACAACATCTTTGGCTTTCAGCAGAAGCACACCATAGAACTGTGCTGGAGGGCCTAGAAAAATCTAAAGAAGTGTTCTCTCTAGGCATTTCTAGGTCCTCCAGCATATTTCTATGGTATGCTTGGGGCGAAAATTGACCAGGACAGCATGCAAACATGACTAGCAGATGGGTAGCATGCAGCAAATCAATGTGAGATAATGGAGAAACACAAGACAGCATGAGAAGCACAAGGTGACACAGGGACCCACAGTTCTTCATGGATAAGTGAAATTGCAAATAGTGAAACCACATATGATGCTATCTTAACTTTTGTATTACAAAGATTTATAAAACAGTAGGCAAAACCAGCTATATAGGAAAGTGTTGCTGCAGTGGTTTTGGAATATAATTTCTCTGCAGTTTTGAAGGTTTGGGTTTGCTGTGTCCTGTTCATTCCAACTTTAACAAAGTATTTTAATCAATTTATAGAAAAAGATCCAACATTATCATTTCTTGCATGCTTAAAAATGGGCAAAGTTTCATTCCGAAGGTCAACATTATTGTTGACAAGCTCTAGAAGATATTGTCCTGAAGTGTTGTTGTTCCTTCGGGAACAAAACAGAAAAGAAGTGACAGCAACAATCAAGATTATCCCTCAAGCCTAAATAGAAAATTATTTCAAAACCATTTTGTTATGTCTTAGTACTCCCAATATTCCCTCTGCTGCATTTCTGGCCTTGGCTCATGTATCAGCATTGGCTACATTTCAGAGCATCCTTATAAAATCAGTGCCATTTGGAAATGCTAATAAAGTACACATTTCCTCCCCTACCCAGTGCAGATTTTGTTCCATGAATGTTCAGGTACTTCCACCCTATGGAATTCTGGAATTTGCAGTTTTGTTGTGGCACCGGAGCTCTCTGACAGAGAAGGCTGAAGATCTCACAAAAGTACAAATCCCAGAAATCCATAGGATAGAAGAACCATGACAGATAGTGGTGTCATACTGCATTAATTCTGCAGTGTAAATGCAGCCCCAGTCTTGTGAAAAATATGGAGTGAAAATAAAGAGATGGATGGTAGATAGATAGATAGATAG